TCTAAAATTCTACCCAATTCACCTCTTATAGTAGCTCCTTTCTTTGTACTATCTACAATATTCATAGACAAAAGAATGTTCAGTTGTTCAATCAAAATATTTATTGTAATAATTGTTTTTGTTCCATCCTTATTTATTAGTTTTGCTTGACCATCTTACTTTTGCTTGCAAGTATGCCATTTGGAATAGCTACAACCATACTATTAATTGCATTAAAAAGTAAATGACGGTGTTGAGTTAAATTTTTAATTTTATCTTTGTAAAAATTAATTGCAGTGACATCATGCCAATTGTGACTTTGAGCTTTCTCCCCCTTGCTTTATACTTCTTTATATTTCTTCCATTGTTCCTTTTGTCTTTTCACTTTTATCTTTTCTTCCATTACTTCTTATTGTGTTTCCATTTTACTTTTCAATTCCTTCTCTAAATCCCCTTTAATAGTCTTTGTGTTGTAGTGGTTGATCGAGTAAAAAAAAAGTATATTGATCTCTTCAAATTTAACCTATCATCTTGAGCCAAGATTGTAATACATTATTTTATTCCAATTGGGGATTCTCATCTAATCAAGCTTCCTATCCAATGTTGATCACCAAAGGATATTAAAATTTTATGCACAAACATCAAAGATATGTTAGAGAAGGGTGTTATTCAAAAGTTTTAGTGTTTTTAAGTATGTGAATCTTATCTTGTGATGAAGTCTAATGGGAGTATTTACTTTTGCATCAACTATCATCTATTAAATGAAGTGACTATTTTAAATGTGTACCTTTTTCCTCATACTATTGATCTTCTAGATTATCTAGGGAGAAGTTATTGATTCACCAAATTAGACTTTGGTTTTAGGTATTGGCAAATGTTATTATATGAGAACAATGTTCCCAAAATTGTTTTTTTATATATAATATAGTTTATATGAGTTCTTGGTGATGATATTTGGTTTGAACAATATTCAGGTGACTTTCCAGCAGATAATGGATAAAGTTCTTTACAATATGCTAAAGGTGACAATTGATTTTATTGATGATGTCTGATCCATTTAAAGGGGATATAAGAGGACACATCCATGATATTTGTAAAATATTAGATCAACTGCAGGAAGTTAATTGAAAACTAAATCTGTCAAAATGCGTGTTTGGATCCAAAAATATAATTTATCTTGGGTATTATATTTATTGTGAGGGTTTGCAAATTGATCATAATAAGCTTGTAGCTAAAGTTTCTTATTCAAAGTTTGCGAATGATGTGCAACACTTCCTAAGCAAGATGCAACATTTCAGTCATTTTATTGATTATCTTTTTTATCATATTATACTATTGTGAGTGTTGTTGAAGTCATTAATATTATCTTTCATTTAGTCAAATGATTATGAATGGGCATTCACGGATCTCAAAGAAATGTTAATGACTCTTCCAATTTTGGCGTAACTTAACTACATTTGACTGTTCATCTTACATGTGGATGCTTTGATATCGGTCTCATAAATGTCTTGATATAAGAGAGTACAAGTGTGCATGATCAGTATCATCCCATTATATACATCAGTAGTATATTACAATTAGCATAGGTAAATTACTCCATGATAGAAGAGTGTTTAGTAGTAGTTTAGGGTTTTGAGAAGCTTCATATATATTTGCATGGTTTTCAAACATTATTAAAAAGTGATCATGCTACAATTACTTCATTATTGAAGTAGAAGAATTTGGTTAATTTTATTGCTCAATGGGCTTTGAAGCTTTAGATATATAATTTCAAAGTTGTTAATTGCCTAGGGAGTTTTATAATTAATATTGATGCCCTTTCTTGAATTTTTCTCCTTTTTTTACTCTCTTTTTTTATTCTTTACGAGCTTGTTATTTTAACATCTATGGATTTTGTAAACAAAAATTCTGTGCCGTCAAAGGTTGTTGTATTTGATGTTCAATATCCATAAAGTGCAGAACAAGATTTACCTTCTTTTAACGAGGTTCATAATGTTTAAAATGTTGAGTTGTGGATCTAAAGGCTTTGTAATGGGTTCAAAAATCTTACATTACTTACTAATAACTTATCATTTTGGCATTTGGCATTTGGGGAGAGGTCTTAATAATCATTTACGGTTGGTGGTGCATTTGATATTTATTTTGCACTTTCTCCATATTTATTATTATTCTTCTATTTTAAATAGGCATATAAGATATTGTCATATAAATGAGAAGTTATATAAGTCTTTTTATTGGTCGGAGATGTGATATGATGTTATCTAATATGTATGTAACTGCATTTAATGTTAAACTTGTAATACTTCCCCTTATGCTATAAAAAGACAATTAGAGTCAATTACAATTTCCCATTCATTTGAGTTGATAGCATGTGATATAATAGAGCTTCTAACATGGTTAATTGCTAATAATAAGTATGTCATTATTACTTTTGACTATTTAACTCGTTAAGTGGAAGTTGGTGCTCTTGTTAATGCATCTACAATTACTATTGAATACTTTCTCCTCTAATATTCTTATCTAAAGTGGATTCTCTTGAATAATGGTCTTACATTAATAGCTAAGGCATTTTATGTTTTAACATTTTAGTTGGGTATACATCACACTTTTACAAGTGCTTTTCATCCAAAGATGAATGGTTTGCTAAAATAAATTATTCAGAACTTAAATGATTGTAAAGTACATGAAATTTTTGCATTTCATTTAGGATAGTTATTTTCCTTTTCTTTGATATGCATATGTTATAGGGGTACAGAGTTCCATCAGTGCTTCACTATATAAATTCTTATATGGTTATGATCTAATATTATCAATAGAATTGAGTTTACTTATATGATTGCTATGAGCTATTAATGATAAGTTTAAGAATCAATATTTGATAAGTATTTTTCCACTAGTTCAAGTGAAGTTTATTGAACATTTGGGTTGTGTACAAGTGGGATAACAACACTACAACTCTCATTATCATCTACTTACAAAATATAAAGTGGATGATTTAGTGTTAATTTGTTTTCCCATTTTTACAGTATGTGGTTTAGGTGTTGCAATAAGTTAGACCACTAAGTTTATAAAATTTAATATAACATTCAATTGGCTAGAAATTATACATTTATAATAATTAAAGTATTTTGTATAAAGGGATCAAAAATAACTACCTATAGATAATCTTCCTCGAAACCCTAGCCTAACAACTAAAGAAACTTGATTGCCTTCCATCCTTCCGAGAGGGAATGATATGAGGTCTAAATGTATAATTACAATGCCATATATTAATATTAGTATAGTAGAATTTTAGTAGCAATTGGATTAGTTTTAATCCTGAAAACTCACTTCTGTATATAAGTTAAAGTTTTGGGATTAATCATATTTCTATATTCTATACACTCATAATAGTAGTTTTATTATAGACTTATTTGCATGATACCTGGTCATTGGGAATGAGAATATTCATCTCATACATTCTATGGGCATGATAGCACCACAGGATTAGGTAGTGCTAGAGCTCCAACACTAGAATCTTAAGTATTTTCTTTAGAGAGCTAGGTTTTTTGATATTTTGCTGGACTGGATTGGTGATTGTCGGCTCCTTGGAATGCAAGTAGAGGCTACTCAGTGTTGCCTTTTCGGCTGATCCATCTCAGGTTTGTTGGACTTCTTTTTTGGATAAAAAGGCTCCTTGTTTCATTGTCTTTGTCCCAGGAAGTAGATCGATTGAATCATATGTGGGGAATTATGTTCTTTGTCGGTACTTAACTTTTTGTTTTAAGAACCTTTCTAGCTTGTCTTCTCGTTTTCTATATGTAAGGTGTTTTCAAGTACTTGGAATACATCTTAAACCAGACTAGGGCCTCAATATCTTAATTGTTCCCATGGGTAAAGATTTCTCCCATTCTTCGTTCAAGTATCTAGACAAATTCCATGTCAAGCTTTGCAGCATTAGTTTGCTCCTCTGCACTTTCTACCGTGGCAGCACTTTACCAAGGTCTTTAGGATACCACAATATTTTTAACGTGTTTGTTTACTTGCGCTCGGATTTCGTCTGCTGGTCCAGTCTACTTTAAATTTGGCCTAGTTGCTTTGAGAATTCTTATAGGTTTTAAGACTGATCTGGAACGGTAAAGCTTGTTTATCATAAAGTGAACGTAGTGCTCAAGTATCTCGATTACAGGTGAAGATAGGCGATCAGAATATCAAAGATGTTAGCCTCGGTCTTTAATTGGGTATTGGAGTAGTACCGCAAACTGCTAACCACTTATGGTTACCTCAGATTGTTTTTAACACGAAACAAGCTGCCATTCATGAGTCAATTCTCAAGTTTCCAAAGCAATACGAAACCATGGTTTGGCGAGAGGGAACTAAAGATATTCAAAGCTCTTTACTTCCGTCTAGCTTTGCAGCTGAGTGGAGGATAGATAGCGCTGGCAAGAGCATTCCTCAAATCCTCTTGTAAGCCAGTTGTGTTGTTCCCTTGAACGTTTCACGACGCGTTTTCTTATCAGGTTGTGTGAAGCAACGAATTCTCTAGATTCCACCACCGAGGAAGAAATTCTATCGTCTCTCAGGTCACTTGCGGCCGCCATATTCATTGCTCACCGTCTCACAACAGCACTGAACTGCGACGAGGTATACGTTTCTGTTAGCTTTGCAAGAGCTGGGCGGTATGCTCAGCTCTGGGCGCAACAGAAAAGCTTGGATTATGGTCCATCGCTGAGCTCTTCGCCAGATTATATGACCCTTACTACAACCAATCACTCAGGAGCCAGTGTCCCAGCAGTGGTGGTGACTCAAACCTTTCTCCTCTAGATTTGCAAACTCCAGTGGTGTTTGACAACAAGTACTACAAGAACTTGATAAATTTCAGTGGATTGTTCCACTCTGACCAGACACTGTGGAGTGGTGGTGATTGGACAGTTGCGTAGCTGGTGCACACTTATGCCATGGATCAAGTGCGATTTTTCCAGGACTGTGCGACTGGAATGATCAATATGGGGAACCTCAAGCCGCTCTTGGCTCCAATCGTAAATACTGTCGCAAAGTGAACTAGATTTTTTCAATATATAAAAGTTATCTCTTGGTTCGAAGGTGTTTATCAAGTATACTTCTTCTCATGCTAGTTTGTTCTTCCACAGTTTCTTCGAATCTCTCCATTGGATCCAGTCAACACATTGATATTGCCCATCCTTACCATTGCATTGCCAAAGTCCTGGAAGAAAGTGCTCTGGCTCGAAGCGTATGAGTTGACGAGATTCCTCGTGCTGGCCTGGTCCCCGGAAAAGAGCGTCTGGTCCGAGAAGAGCAACCCTGTCCGGTTCTGCAAGTTCCTAAAGTACCGATTGTCAAAGCTGGTGGGCGTCTGGACGTCGAGCGGCGAGAGATTGGTGTCGCCATTGCTGCTCGGGCACGAGCTTTGCAATGAGGTGTTAAAACTTTGATCCATCTGGTCACCTCTTTGGAAGGGCCCGTAGAGCCGAGCCTTAAAGGTGGTGCACTGGGCCTGCCCAATGGTGTGAGCCCCGGAGAGAGCCACCATATCTGTGGTTGAAAGCCCCTGGTTTTGAAAACTCGTGATGAGAGCTGAGGCATTCAAAGTTGGAGGAGGAAGGTTGGCATTTGCGGCAGATTGGCTTGCTGTTAAGCTATCCCTCCTTCCAAACACCACCGTCCACGAAGGCCCGTTCAGCTGTAAAAACACCACAAAACGAAAAGCGTTGACATTGTAAGCTTTTGACCGTTGACTTTGAGAGTTTACCGCGACTACGGAGTCCCGGGCAATGAGCGCCAGTAAGTCAGCGCAGGAGACAACGCCCGGGCAGGAGCTCTCGACGGAGCTCTTGATGGAGTCGACGATGTCGAAGCCACGGGCGGAGCCAGCGTTTGGAAGCGCGTTTTGCTCCAGGTTTGCGCCATCGAGAAGAATGGAAGCATCACATCCCTGCAAGACAAATGCATGGTTCTTTCAATATGCTTGAATGAAAGTTATGGAAGCTTTCTACATTGACAAAGCAGTCGTGGAAATGGAGGCGAACAAACGAGGCTGCGATTCGAGCCTCTGCCTGGACGGCCTGCTGCACTGCATCTCTCACGATGGTGGTGAGATTTGGGCACGAGGAGCCGTAGAAGCTGGAGCTCAAAGTTTGGCCAAGAGCACTTCCATGCAGAGCCAGCAACAACACAAGCACAAAGGACATGATCGCCATCTTTCCGCTTGAGCCTTAGCTTCACTCGAAATGCCTGGCCTTTGAAACGTTTGGAAGGGTTGCATTTATAGATAAAGCCTCGCCGTATTGAGCACGGGTGCCACGGTGGTGAATGATATTAAACACAACTCGAGCCGGTGTATTTTGACAAGCTTTTTTGTTTTGTTATGGAATAAGTCGTAACCATTTCATGTGGTGAAAGTCGGCGATGGCACACAAGTTCAAACCTTTCACCCTCGAAAGAACCATATCTCACAACCTCCAAATATCACATGAGATGATCAAGCTTGTCATGACGCAAAAAAAAGTCAAGTACCACTCAAATGCATCCTGTGACTTTGGACAAGTTTTTCTTGGTGGAGTATTTTCACTCCCTTTCTGCCACCAAAGCATGCCTGTTACAATTTTTCTTTGCTGGCTAATGACTCCACAGCCCAAAAACCTTGTGAATAAGACATTAGAACTTTCGAGGAGAAAGCCTCCTTCTCCTAAGTGCATTCTGCAATTAGTAAATGAGAAAGAGTTTGCCAGAAAAACACTTAGATCCTCTTTATTATCTTCACCTAAAGAGGAAGTACTAAAATTAATAGAAAAATATAATACTTCATTTAGATATTTTCTTATAATTTATTTCTACATTATTTAAAATATCATAAAATTCTTATAAAAAGATATATAAGAGAAAATTGATTTTTCATATTAAATCCCAACAAAAAATAATAATATTTTAGAACTTAATGCAGATTTAAAATAAAATTTAACATATATTTAATAACAATTTATCTTTTTTTGTTATTGTAACTAGTGTAACTATTATTATATTATATAAATGTGCCTATTTTTAAAATATATATAAAGTAAATTATTATTACTGTAAATATATAATACAAATATTTAATCCTTTTTTTCTGTATAAAATTACATTTTTATAATATTATTATTAAAACTACTAATAAAAACTAGTTAAAATAATAATCAAAGATAAAAAACTATAGATATACTATCAATTTTTGATTACTTTGTTACAAGGGTTACATCTAGATACAATGTCAACCACACTCTAATAAGGACTTCATACTCCCCTTCAATTTTGTCAATTTAAAAATTAAAAGCATATAAAAGATTCTAATTATACCAATAATATGATCTTGGATGATTTTTCATTTGTATCACATATGATTTTCACCCTTGATCCTATGGTGATTTATTATAAGATAACTATAAAAAAAAATCTATCCCAAAGCCCTAACCACTAAATGAAGGAACGGAGTTAAACTCTTAATTATACAACTAAGGGATGAAGGAATTAAAGTATGAAATAACTCTTGAGTGTATAACTTAAGGAACGGTTGGTCGACGAAAAACCCTGCTGCCTGGTGCAAAAGCACAGAAATATAAAGTGATATTAAAATAGTCCTAATGCATCCACCATCCCAATGCTAGGACTAACATGCAAAACAAAAGTTTAATATTATTTCAGCATATTGGTGGTATAATGCGAAGATATAAATACTCCACCACCCATCTATATGAAAGCACACTTTGGGCTTTTACTCTAATCCTAGGAACAAAAACTTACTATATATGAAATAAGATTAAATTACAAATCTGGATATGGGAATAATACTATTATGTTCATGATAATTTCTACATTCTACAAATATAACTTACTTGCTAATTTAGACACTTTCGAACGAAACTAACATATGGGAAATAATAGGCTGTCTTAGTAGATATAGTAAGCTATTCTGTAAAGAATATTGAGAGACCACGCTCAATATCATAAAGGTTTCCAACACTAGCAAGTGCAAACCAATATATAAATTTTTTATACTAGGCTAAGTATATTCAACAAGTAACATATAGGAGTTCCTACCTTATGTTTATTTGGCATAAGTACATACATGAGGACTAATTTCTCCACTAGCTTGGGCAGAGATTGAATAAAGATCTAACAACATTGATCTTTTACCGTTGTGGTAGTTAAAAAGAATATCCAAAAAGACTTATTGATATATAAATTTCGATACCCACAATCACATTTACAACATCATTATAACAATTGTCAAGACTATAGGCTAAGAACACAAATCTAAGATGCAAGATAAGAGAAAGCTAGCAAGAGAACACTAAGAGATCAGCCCATGACTAGTGTTGATTCAATTCAAGAGTTTGTGTGAAATTTTTATAGTAAGCTACCATCTATAAATATAGTGTATGCTATTTCTAGCTAGCACACTTACAAATGACTAAGTCCAGAATATATGTTTAGGCTATCATGAGTGTAGCTTATTTCCTAAGCCTAACATGCCACTTGAGTCTAGTTTGCCTTTTGAGCCTGGCTTGTTGTCAAGTTGATATTCACTAAGTAGAAAGATTAGACTCAAATTCAAGTCACACTCTTGCTTTATCTACTCAGAAGCTTAATTGCAAGAAATTGCAAGAAAAACATATCAAATTGAATGTAGTAGTCACCTTTCACATCAACAGTGAAAAATGACATTGGAAACTTGACCATAAAGCACCTAAATTCTGCATAGTTGTGCAAATTAGATCTCCAATGCACCCTTGCCACTTTCCCTAGTTACAAATGAAAAATTATCAATAGGCCACACAATCTTCACCCCAATTGCCACCAAGTAGAGATCCAAAACCTCCACTAAAACTTTCCAATGGCTCATTCTTGTATGCCACCTCTAACACTTTAACACTACATATATTGTCTATGCAAGCTACAACCTAGAGAAGAAGCAAGTGAGATGGTCTAAAGGTGAGACACTCTAACACCTATTATTTAATAGAGGCACCCAATGCCTAGGATCTAGATGATGTGAAAGATGATGAAGAACTTTAGTGTTGTTGGAGACTATTGATAAATCCTTATAAGCCAAAACCAATGTACTCTAGCCTTCAACTCAAGTTGCAACTATATATCCAAATGTCATTCACCATCCAAGAAATGATCTTGACTACCTTCTAAATCTTGCTTAGGAGTTTGGCTCCAAGAAAGTGGGGATTACTTGCATATTATAGTTTATGGTTGCCTTATGGTTTCAATCAAAGAGGAGATCTTTTATCAATTATGGGTCTTTGAGACTGTCAAAGACTTGGAGTTGTAGAATTTACTCATTGCAGTTGAGGTCTGAGCAATGAAATGTTGTAGGGAGCAATTGTTTGCTTCAAGTATTAAAGAGAGATCTAATAAAATCTCATTTTTAAAGACTTGGTGCACACCTTGTAGAAGACCCTCACCACAATATCTAGAGAAGATTAATCAAAAGTGAGCTTCATCATGGGAAAATTGTCAAGAATGGTTGATTGGCATTTGTAATTGGCTCTCCTTGACAATATTCTTCTCTTAGGAGACTTAAGCCCAATTCACAAGATCATTACATATTGGTTCAAGTATCAAAATTTACATACAGGTTATCCAAATGGTTGGAATGAAATAAGGTTCATAGGGATTCACAAAGGTGGTTTAAAGTTGAGTTGAGTTTACAAGTTAATACTAAACAATATAATTAACCATAAGACTTATAAAGAAAAAACATGTTAGAAAAATATTAGTTCTTAATGAACTTGAAATTCATGAATTTAGTTTTTTACTAGTTCAGAAAAAATTATATTTTCTAATACTATGTATGGAGAAAACACTTTTTCTAATACCATCCATATGATAGAACTCAATTTGTACTATTTATGTAGTTTAAAGTTCATTTGAACATACTTTGCTATTTTTTGCATTTACAATATTCTAATTATCTTCTTTTAAATATATTGTAAAGATAGTGGGTAGGAATGATTGATCAACTTTAGATATTGTTTGGCATGTTTATAATTGTTTTGGGTTCGATTTAAATTTTAGCCCAAACTCTATACCATATTAGCACCCATATCTTTGCATTAGACCATCAGTATGGTAAAGTAGCACTAAATTTCATTTAACTCCATTTTGCATGCTAATATTAGTATTAGGATGTTGGATGCTCTAAAATTATTTTAATGTCACTCTATACTCTTATCTTTTTACTCTTTAACTATACACTAAAAAATTGCTTCATGCTCTTATCCCTTCATTACTTAGTTGTATATTTAAAAGTTTGGCTTCATCCCTTCATTCAATGGCTTAAAGCTTTGAAACTTGTGTCTTGATTTATTGCCATTGACACATATATTCAAGGGTTAGATTTTGCTCTAGGACTTTGATGGAGGTTATGAAGAAGTCCAGGATCAAAAATCACATTTTGAGAAGGCGTGAGTATGTTGGTTGATGAGTGTCTAAGATTGCATAGTAAGTATATATAGTATTATATAATAAATCATTATAGGGTAAAGTATGAAAACTATATTCTAAGATACATTTGCTTTATAGTATATATGGTTTTCACCTTTTACCCATGGTAAATCATCATGGGATAAAGGGTGAAAACCATATATATTACATTTAGCTATTTTATCTTTATTTATCCCTTAAAATTTAAATTTCATCCCATAATCATATGTGTTATATTCACCCCCTAAGAGATATCACTATCCACCACTATTTCCACACTGAATCAATCTTTCTACTGTATAGATTAATTATTTTATATAAGGCAACTAATCATCCACCCCTTAGAGTGAAACTTATGTCATTAGCTCTAATACTATATATAGCACACTTTATCTCTCTCTCTCTAAACCAACAAGGAAAAGAATAATTTCTTGCTTTAATAACTATTTTATCCCTTTTTATCGCTTAAGGTTTTAAGGATTGAAGGTGACAATATATTTAAATCTCATTCCATGATCACATGTGGTATAGCAAGTAGGCTATCAAATATTGGAGTTAATATTCCTTTGAGGCATAGAAGGAGAAGATAGAGTCTATATGAGGTATGTCTATTAGGTTTAATGCATGCTATAAAGTAAATTTAAAAGACTTTGGTATTTATATAGTCTTTTAAGATATTATATAAATGAATGAAAAGGAAATTGATTCTATTTGCCCAAAAATTGGCAACTATAATTGAAAAGGTGGTTTAT